AAAGATTCAAATCTCCAGTTTGATCCACAGAAGTTAATTTCTGATCTTTCCAAATCAGGCTTACTGAATCCAAGTATTTTAAGTAAACCAACAGGCGTTGATGATCAAAAACCGTCACTTCTCTTAAGTTCCTCACAGACTTCAAATGAATCATCATTCCCCGAGGATAGATATTCAAATAATTATCCACCTGAATCATACAACAGAGAATCGTATTCCAGAGGGCAATATGAACAGTACCGAGACAGCTATGACAAGGAACAATACAGGGGAAATGCTCCACCGAGTGAAAATAACAGTTTCAACAGAGGTCCTTACGATGGAAGACCAAATGAAAACTCGCAAAACTTCCCTCAACAAGGTATCAGAGAAGGCAGAGGTCCCTACTATCCTGGCCAGATGAATTACAGAAACTCTGAGTCAAGAGATGGTGATCAAAGATCGTTTCCTCCTGAAGGAAGAGAAATTTTTGACAGAAATAGTGACCAAAGTTTGCCAATTGCTCGAAATGATAATCGCGCTTTTCCATTTAATAGACAGCCTCCTTTCCTTGATAGACCTCCTCTGGACGCACCTCAAAGTCAACAAAGTAGTTATGATTGGAATTCTGAGAATAGAGGACCATATGACAGACATACTGTACCTGATCAACCTCCGCCACGTAAATCACGATTCGAACAGCAACCGGACGAAAATTATAGGGACGATAATAGGCGGTTTGATCGACCGCCGCTTGATCGTAGACCGCCGTATGATGATTCTCAATCTGGAGACAAACAGTTTGATAGACCCGTTGATACTACACCTCCTTTTGATCGACCTACTGATTCGAGACCTCTCTTTGATAGGCCACCTGATTCAAGGCCACCTTTTGATCGGCCTTCCGAGTCTAGACCTCCATTTGATAGACCCCCAAACTCTAGGCCACCGTTTGATAGACCTGACTCAAGACCACCATTTGACAGATCCCAAGAATCAAGGCAACTATTTGAAGGAAACAGGGAAAGATTTCACCCAAATCAGAGACCTATTTTTAATAGGGATCCCCAACTTGGAGACATAGAATCTCGCAGAGAATCGCGTTTTGACGATGTTGGATCTCCTCCATTAGCAAGAGATGATGACAGATATAGACCACCTCCTCATGGAAGACCTCCATTTGATAAAGAAGTGGATCGCCCTGACAGTGAACCACAAGCAGGAGATGGGCTTCTCGGACCAGGGCCTCCTCTAAAAAGACTTGATGGAAAGATTGAAAATTATCCACCTTTTGGTGGACCAGGTGGACCCAGAATGCCCCCACCATTTAGACCAGGATTGAGACATCATTTTGAAGGGGACGGTGGTTTTCCAGAGAGAAGAGGCCCTCCCATGCCTAGATTTGGTCCGCGGGGAATAGAACATCGAGGATCTAGACCACTACAAAGACCAGGTGTACCTGATCAAGGTCCAAGGCCACTGTTGGATCATTTCGAACGCTCTCCTGTGGATCAAGACCGCCGACTTCCACCTGTCGCACGAGTTAATCCGAATGATCGAGGATATTCAGATAATATTCCATCTCTTTTTGATCTTGATAACCGTTTTGCCCTAAATTCACAGGAATCGTCTAAGAAACCAGAAGTTCCAATCGACGCTGATATGAGGGATCCTAAAGATCGATTACGAGACAGTGCAGATAACAAGAAATCCGACACAGATTCACGGCTAAAGTCAACTGAAGATCGTCGGGATGCTCGAGATAAGGACAGCCGTGATAGTAGGGATAATCGTGACAGAGAATCGCGCGATAACCGAGACTCCAGAGATTCACGTGACAGATATAGTCGAGATAGAGACAGGGACAGAGATAGGGGTCGTGAAAGAGAAAGAGACCGTGATAGGGATAGAGAGCGATCTCGTGACCGGGACAGGTATGATAGAGATCGAGACAGACGCCGGGATGATGATCGTGATCGTAGAGAGCGCCGAGATGACAGAAGTGATCGTGATAGAGATCGCGACCGAAGAGATAGAGATCGAGCTAAAGACATCAGGCGGGATAGCAAAGGACGCGACCAGTTTGGAAGAGATATACCTCGTTCTAAAGACGACGGCGAAAAAAAAGACTCTGATAGTCAGCGAAGTTCATCTAACACCAACCAGAAAACTCCGATAAAAGCACCTGAGACAAATACCCAAACAAAAACTGATTCCAGTAATCCTGCACAGGGTAAACTACCTGAGGATACGGATTCTCGAGGTCTAAAACGACCCTTGCTCTCTACCGATCCTGATATTTCTGTTAGAGTACAGGGTTTCCCATTGCATGTTAATTTCAGAGATATAAGGCAATTTTTTACAGGGTGCGAAATCCCATGGGATGGTATGAAAAGTGAAAAGGATGAAAGGGGTCAAGCAACAGGAATTATGTTTATTAAGTTTCAAAACCAACGAAGTTTCTGGGAAGGACTTAATAAAAATGGAAAACGTTTTTCAGATGGTAATCGAATCGACGTTACAAAATGTAATCTTAAGGAGTTCGAAAATTGCGACCCAATTTCTAAACTAGAAAATTCTGAAAGCGAAGAGACAAAACGTCCAAAGATGGAACAACCTTTAAGAACTTCACAATATATTATACATATGAAAGGACTTGGAATCAACGGAAAGAAACTTGATGTAGTAGAATTTTTCAAAGGATGTGAAATAGCAAAGAACGGAGAAGGCATTCACATTGAATATGACATCAAAAATCGTTGCACTGGCACAGCGTTTGTAGAAATGTTAACATTATCAGACTTTCAAAGTGCTTTGCTGTTAGATGGGAAAATGTTTAACTCTCGTGTTATCCGTATTTCAGCGGGAAGTCTTCGTGATGTGGAACTGTTGCATGAGCGTATGAAAGATGTCATGGCAAACAAAAAAATTGAGGAACAAGAGAAGAAACCTCTATTGCCGAATCCTGTAAACGTCGAACCAAACAGGATTTTAGCCCCGGATGGTGAATACAGAAATCGCATAACTACCAATCTTCATTGCGTGCATCTTCAAGGACTACCACCTCATGTTGTAGCTAAAGACATCGCTAAACTCTTTGATGGAATTGATATTGCACAGCGAGGAATACAGATAGTCCATGATTCAAATGGAAGACCATTAGGAGAAGCATTTGTAGAGTTCACTAACAATTCTGAATGCGAGAAAGCGCTAAATATGCCCGAGAGGACGATCGGTGATCACGAAGTAAGCCTGAAACCTATTCCAAAATCAGAAATGGTGGATATCCTAAAACAAATTCGACCGCCTTCACGAGGAGGGAATTATCCTCCTATGCACGGTCCTCCGCCTCACGGCATGGGTCCTCATGGCGGCCCTCCAGGACCCCGAGGACCACCGCCTCACGGAGGACCCCATCCACCCAAAGGTGGACCAATGCCTCACGGGGGCCCACCGCAACACGGACCACCACCTCACGGGCCCCCGCCACATGGACATCCGCCCATGCGTCCTCCACATGGGCCACCACACGGACCGCCTCATTCTCCGCATGGACCACCACCATCGTCAGGGCCCTATATAGGCAGACGATTCCCAGTGCTTATAAAAGGTTTACCTTTCACCATTTCGATACGCGAAGTCACCAATATGGTTCAGGGTTACAGTCCTATTGTAGAGTCCGTTAGAGTAATGGTTGGGAACGATGCAGGAGGAACCTCTGCCATGGTTTCTTTCCGCTGTATGGAGGATGCTGAGCAAGTTATTCGAGATCTGAATAACACGTTCTACAGAAATAAACAGATCCATTTATCACCAGCGCCGATGTAAACTTCAAGAAATAAAGGTACATTTTGCAAAAGTCGCTCTATTCAGTCATATTACATTTCGTTCTGCATGAAAAACAGGTCGATTGACAAAATGGTGATGTATATCATGCTGTTTATATGACGTTTAAAAATTCTTTTTATCTTTTCAGTTAAACACTGACGGCAGCAAGTGGGGGAGGCAGTAGCACTGAAATTTCCCTTACTTCCACGCACTGTGACCATTTTTTCACCATGCAGGCTGAAAAACTGACATTTTAATAGAAACTTTTAGTTCTTTTAATTTTATTGGCTGGGGCATGGGGATCTCTTTGTCCGGCTTCTTTTTCTTCTCTGAGCGGAGATCTGCTTTCATTCAAATGATGAGAACATTCTTATACATAAGAGATGTTGCTAATCTAACTGGAGATTAAAATAGGATTTAGCAAGAAAACTTCCGAGAACCACTATTACAGATCTTTTCCAAATTTTTACTGTGAATTTTTGTGAAGTTACCTGTGAATTTTACATTTTATGGGTGCAAGATTTTCAAACCATGCAATTTAATATTTTAAAATTGTAACCAATACATGAGGTTTTAGAATTTAAACTAAAACGAATGGCAACTTATATAAGAATTTATCATCAGCACAGAATTGAACTTGTAGTCGTATTAACCGACACGGACTGGTTTGTTAAGATGGTTATTTTAATTGTACATAATATATGTATCTTGTGTTCACGGAAAATGTTTAATCATGATTTAGTATGCTCTCTCCAAAATTAAAGAGAACAATCTGAATGATCTTTTTTTATTTTCGCAAATCTTTGGGATAATTCGTTGGTGTCGTGAAATCAAATGATGATGCTACATTTCCCAGATCAACTGACATCGTCTGTCCACTGTCGAAGTTTGATTCACAATCAGCTTGGACTTTGAAGTACCAAGTGAAAGTTGTATAACCTACATCATTCAACTCAAGTCTCGGAAACTGATTTAAACATGATTAAACTTAACATGTTTAAGGACCTATGGTCAGTGGCCAATCAAATTTTTTAATAAGATAAACAATAGGCCCGTGGGATACAACATTCACCTGAGCCACCCTTTTCCTGACGAATGAATAAATAACACCTCTAATATTGTCGTCTCCAAATTAAGTCCGTTAAAGAATAGTGTATATAAGCTTGGTGTCAACTTTACCTGTAGCCTTCCTGTTCTGTATGTCATCTAAATACAAATGACAAAGACTGACTACTTCTTGATCAGAGCAGGCCCGTGTGAGGAAAGTTCAACTGGGGTCGGTACGAGCGTAAAACCGAATAGTAGTCAACCAAATAAAAAATTAAAAATAACTTTTTTGATGGGACACACACGCAAATTTATTAAGGGGACACAGCTGTGAATTATATTGTATATACTGGCAAAATTACTGGGGGCAATCCGGGGATCCCCCCTCCGTTCTTACGGGCCTGCTGAAATATCATTTGATCCTTTGGCTCTTGTGAATATAAATTTCGTTTTTTCAAAAAATACAAAACGAAAAGTTATTTCCTTTCACTTGTACTTCAAAATAATATAAGGATAATTGAACAATAAAATCATAACATGTTTGTTTTATTTCCAGCACGTTATATGCACAACATATCATAAACTGTCCTACCTTTAGCTAGTAATACATTTACTAACAACAGTACGTCACAAACTACTGGCAATATTACACAGTTCCACTGCTTTTAAAACACAGACTTGTTAGAACCGATTATAAAAATATACAAGCTTTATTCTGCTTAGTCAACAATTGTATTGCTGCTTCTGGATTAAGGACTTAAAAAAAATTATTGCTTTCAAAGTGTGGTTAAAATTACATGTAGAAAATATCCATTCATTATTGGAAATTGGTCTTTTGAATCTAAATTTTTGTTTCATTTTCTACTCTTAACTTGAATAATACGGTACAATGGTGAGTTGGTAAAAAAAAAAATAAAAATAATATTAACATAGGTAGATGTAGTGCATATAACCCTTACTGATAAAGTAAAGCTGTTCTTTGTTGAATACAAGTGACATTAAAATTATTATCAATAGCAGCACACTGTAAAATTAATACTAGAAAAAAACTCGCACTACATGAAAAATTGCACTATGTAACCATCGAACAATGGCAAAAATGACCAATGACTGAAATGAATGTGGATTTGTACATAATTGGATGAAATGATTCACCAATCAAACTTGACACACATTAAACTCAAGCTTACAATGAATATTCACATTACTCTGTTACAATGTCAGTATAGCAATGACATTCTCTCCCTGATTAATGATTTAACATGACAAAATATGAACTGGAAGATCAATGAATACATGTATATGAAATGGTCGTTTAACACTGTATCAACAGTTGTTGGCACACAAGAACTTAAAAGACAGCTACATCCCTAATGCAGAGGACTGCAGGTCCTATTTTACACAACATAAAAATATCTCATGTTCTAAATTCAAAATATTTGTGCACAGATGTTTCATCAGCTGTATCACATATGAAATTTTTGGATTCTAAAAGATAAGGAAGGTTAATATCAACTAAACTGAATGCAACTTTAAAGTCAGATCAAACCTGTATTATGCAAAAACAACTGAATTGAAGCTGTGACCAAAACCTAATGTGATTGCACCACAATTTACGAAAAAGAAACATACATATGTACAGGAATGAAAAACAAGTATAATTGCCTTCATATCACAATGACTTCTTCACTGTTGGAAAGTACTTTAAAGTGAAAATAAATTAAAACATGAATAGTATTTAAAACAAAATTATTCAAAAACATGCACAATAGCAACTGTACATGCAGCAGTGAAGAACATAAAATAAGTTGGTACCTGTGAAGTTTACATGTACAATAGGAAATAATATAAACTGTCAAGTCTTTCTGACAGCAAATATCATGATACACAAATCACTCACTCCTGATACACTGCTAGCATTCTGAACCATTTTCACTACTGGACATTTTACGTAGTCCTCGCAGTTCTGACACAAGAGAAGCCCTCAGACTGCTGGGGTCCGCTCCCTGTTGTACAGGTTTGGGGTTCACTGGTGGAGGACGCTGTACTGCTGGGGTACTGTAAACTTTCTCCATCTCCTCCAGCTCTGCGGCTGAGGGAGGGGGAGGCAGATCAGGGTCAAGTTGGACTAGTTCTGGTGGAGGTGGGGGAAGACTATCATCCTCCTGCTGATACGCAGCATTCAATGCTGAGAACTGGGCATTGAGTTTCTGCATCAGCTCTGCTTGATTAGCATTATGGGGTTGGTAATGTCCACTAGGTGGCATTGATCTGTTCCCTTGTTGAGAGGGAGTAGGAGGGGCTGAATAAGCTATATGCTGGGTGTCCACTGATGCATAGGGACTTGCCTCCGGCTGATAGTGTAATTGTTGCCTAGCATGAATACTCATTTGAATTGTCTGTAATTCAGCATAGGCTGGTTCTCCTCCAGAGCTGTTACTACGGCGATGAAGTGAGGTACGGTTAGGGTTGTGCTCCTGACCATGAGAAGGCTGCTGGAGCTGCCTTGGAGGTGTATTTCTGAGTCTTTGTAGAGTATGTGGGTTGGTTGTTGTGATAGAGGATGATCGTCGTACAGGAGGTGGTGGTTTAGGAGTGTTCATTGAACTCCTCCTTGTAATAGGGGCACCTGTTTGTCTTGAAACTGGGATACCTACAAATAGTATTAACAGGTTCTTAGTATAAATCACAAACAAAAAAACAAAAAAACACACAAAAGCATGCTTATGAATCTGAATTAATGTTTGTCCAAATACATGTATATGCAATGATTTTACATTCAGAATATTAGATTTACACTTTATTATATTAGTTTACAGAAGTTCTGACTATATATACAGAAGATATGCATGCATATTTTTTTTTCAGCAATGGCTGTTTAATGACTGTTGGTACATGTTCATCAGGACCAAGTGCTGTGTAGAACACATACACTCCTGGCTAACACACCTGCAGTGGAGGCTGGTCTCTTAGCCTGCATTTCAGCTCTGAACATATTTCCTATTTCTGAATTACGAGGGATGGTGAAATATTTTTCATTGCCAGATATGCATTCTGTTGTATTATGATCAAAATCTGCAATCACATCCAATAGGCAAACTGAATAGAAGTGATAACACAAAGATGGCGAGGACTTCTAAAGGGTATCTGATTGATATACTGAACAGATACTCAAAAGAAGTTTCTCTGAGTTAAATAACACAGCACAAAATTGAAAACAAACCATGCAGCATGAGAACAAAAACAAAGGTGATGAACACAATAAAAAAATCAAATATTTACAGGACTTTTTTGAGGCAGGCGACATGCTGATAGTCTGTACATTACGTCGTTTAAGACTTCCTGAGAATATTATGATATAAACAGCAAAAGTAAATCACTGATTAAGAAATGATCTTAACATACATTCCAGACATAACTTTTTATAATTTAACATAGCATATATATTAACAAGTGCATGTTATTATATAAACAGTTTTAAAAATCAAAATGCACAGTCATAAAATAAAGCTTTATATAAGAATTATAATTTTATTCACAGACATGAGTGCAGAAGATACTGAACATCTCGAAAGCTTTAGAGTAGCTAGTTATGTCACAGAAACAACACATTCTGACTTACCTCCCATGGCAATGGTGTCCTGTGAGTTGGCTGGTGTGTTATTCATCGTACCATATCCACTGGAGCACTGCAGTGAGTGCTGACTGGTGCTACTGTCCACTTCATACGTTGACTCCAGTGCAGCTGTACTAACCTCCAGCTCCTGAATCGCTCTGGCCAGCTCAATAGTGTTCCTTTTCATCTGGGATGACAAAATAAAATCACATTACTTCATAGTTACAGACATTCTAAACATCTGTACATACTAGGGTAAAACAGAGATGAATTCTTTGCTATGTCCATTCTAGTCCATATTTAGAAAATCTTTTTACATGATCTGGGAAAGAACTCCACTCATCATAATAAGGTGTTTATTAAGGAATCTGCAAACAACTCAGATGTTTAGCAAAACCATATATCTGCAATGAATTTCAGTACAAAAAGGTGCCATTTAATACACTCACTGTAACCATTTATTACTGGTGCATTTCAGTTTTGATTAGTTAGTCTTCTCTGCCTACAGATTAAAATTCCAATTTCAGAAATAGATGTCTTGTTATCCAAATATATACCAATATAGAATGCAAAATTGATTTAAAAAAATAATGCTGGTTCTGTTCACATTAAAATCCATACAAGAGATGAAATTCATGTTAAAAGAGTGCTTTCATTCCAAATCGGTGTTTCTCATCGTGTTCTGTAGATCTTACTTTACTATGGTATTCTCCAGTTACCATCTAATATAAAGAGTAGAACACTTATAAATTACAAGAAATAATCTATCAGCAAACATTCCTGTTACTGAAATGCATGTCAATTACTTTCTACGTTCATGTGATTTTCAGACCATTCCAATTCACTGTATCTAGATTACTGTAAACTTTGAAAAACATGCCAAAAAAAAAAAAAAGAATAAGAAAAAGAAAAAACATGCAAGCAAATGATTAAGTTCAATTTTCTTCTAAATTGAACTTCCAAGTCTCACTTTTTTGGTCACAATCCTGGATGCAGATAATCAAAGTAAGTATGTATATTTCATATACCAAAATGAAGTTGAAATAAATGATAGATATGTAGATTTCCATTTCACAACATATGTTCACATTACAATACAGAAGTGCAGTAAAAATTGAGATAGCCAACACCCTTCTACTTATAATATAGAGTCCTTGCCTTGGCTTTGTGTTTTTCTTCCTCTTGTTCATACTCGCTGTTTAATGCAGCGGTAGCATTATCTAACTGTTGGATTGCTTCCACCAGGTCCATAGGGAGCTAATAGTTTACACAGAAAAGAGTGAAAGTTCAAAAGTCCACAGAAAAAAAAATATACACAATAGTGAAGCAAGATTTGTTTTAAGCTCCAGTTAGGATACAAGAACACTGTTAAAAATGTTAAAATTTCAAGTTTACTGTTAGCTGTTTTTGATTTCAAAATTCAGATATCTAAAACACATGTCAAGCAGTTTGAGTCCAAGATTCATTTTCACCCTGATATTTTTCTTGGAAGCTTAAAACTTCTGCATGAGTTTCTAGTTTTGTCCAACCTTTTTTTTTTTAACATTTTTTTGACAAAGCTGGAAACTTGTAGTATTTTATTATACAATGAATAACAATACTGGATTTAAATAAAATACACATATAAATAGGGTAAAAATAAAAGGAAACACACAATGGAATATAAATTTGGCTGTTACATGCTATGTGCTGAACTTAAAAACTTTCATTTCCAAGCTTATGTTGTAAACAAATTTTAGTATAATATGAACTGCTTAGCACATGTCAGTTAAATAGGCTTCAGAGCTAAAATGTGCCTCATCATTCCCTTTTCAATATCATGCAAATTGTCAAACTGTAAGATTTTCAAGTTTATTTTTTCATACCAGGCATTATTGTAATGGCTCCCATGAAATTATTGAGTTCAGATGCTTTTTAAAAAGGCAGGTATAACAACAGAATTAGCTCGGGAATGGTAAGATTTACAACACAGAAATACCTCTGTAGATTGTGGGCTTACATCTGTGCCGGATTCTCTCCTCCTGCTGGCAGCCATGTTTGCTAGGTCACTCATGTTTACATATGCTGGGGCTTCTCCTGTGTCAAAAATACAAATCTTACTTTTATTCATTAGCTCTTTAAGAATAATAATAATGTGCTCTGTTAAAGATTTTATAATCAAAATACCTCCATTCCCCCCATTTTGAAAATACTCCTTGAAAACAATACAAAATGTATGCAATCATAAATTCCGGTATTTATCAGACTCAAAAATTTCACTTCAGTCATCTTTTTTATATTTACATCAATGAAACTTCTTATTGCAGACAATGACTTACTAAATTCAGTGAGTTCAGTAATTTTAATTACAGTATTTATATAGGTACTTAACATAGAACTTATAAATTATTTTCTTTGTATTCAGAAAACAGCTCTGAACAGCTGCATGAAATGTTTTCTGTTGACAAAACCAGACTAATAAAGATTATCTAATCCTAGCCTTTTAGTTCTTGCATAAGTTTAGGTACTTCTTTGTAAAACTTTTGGCTGTATTTCTGGCCCAGAAGACTACAATAGCTAGCTATAGGTTCACTTCATGCATAAAATCGTCCTGTAGATATACCAATTTATTGACTAACTGTATCTGTTCCATTTTCAACCTCAATACAAAGTAAAGACTTAGTGCTTTTATTTCCTATAACAAAGTTTCCTCTAAGAGTACATGTATTGGAAAACGGGCTGTATGACATTGTAATGTTCTTGAATTTTGCAGAAAAACAGGTGCATTTGTATTTGAGTACCTTCAGCAAAGAATTGAAAGATGAGCACACTCCTTTATCCAAAATATATATTTCATTATCTTCAGAAGCAGTTCTTTCCATTTTGGATCAGAAGTTGTGCTTTTTATGAAATACTGAAAAACATCTTCATATTTTGGCCATTTTTGGAGAAATATTCAGGATATGGGAATAATGATGCAATTTTTGACATCATAATGCACTGACTAGCGAAAAAATTACGTCATTTTCAATAGATATGCAGTCACCCAGGGTCCAAGAGGTATTAAATGAATTGCCAACTAAAACTAACCAGTTTTGATTTTTCAGAAATTCATACAGCCCTAAGTGAACCTTGCTCTTTGAACAAACTTGAATCTATGTTCAACAAAGAAGCTTTCACTTAAGTTTATCCAATTCTGGTCCTGTGATTCTTGATAAGATTTTTAATGAATACATCCTAAATTTCACTGGTTCTAAATTACAGGGTCTTCTCTCGAAAAGATGCAAAGCCCTTCATTTGAATACACCTGAATTCTCTTTATCCAAGGACATTTTGTACCAAGCATGGCTGGAATTATCCTGTAGTTCTGAAGAAGATGAAAATTTAAAAGCTTGCAGACAACAAACATGACTGACAAATAGACCCTAGACATTTTCTGATGAAAAGCTCACAGATTCTGAGCTAAAAACACAAATAAAGTCAGTAATACAGGTCTTTGTCTGTGAACTAAAAACACAATAATAAAATAATACAGACCTAATGTTGGGACTTTGGGAGGTGGCACTGCCTTTGACTTTGGTTTTGGAGCCAGAGGTGGCAGTACAGGTTGCATCTTGTTAATGGTTGCCGACTGCGGTCTTGCGTACTGTCCTGACCCTGTACTTGAGGAGGAATTAGACCTCTCTTTCTTCTTGTTCCTCATCTGAACATCTTCCTCTTCTGCCATTTCTGAAGGTGGCTCAAACAGATTGGCTGATAGGGCTGGTCTATTATGTGTTTTTTCATAAGCAGAAGATATTGTATGTGGTCTGTTGTCATCTGCTTTTGTGTTGGAGTTGGGTGGGTTTGGCCAGTTTGTCCAGGTGGAGCTGGCTGACGGTGTGTTGTCTGAGGGGGTGGAGGACTGCGAGTCTGCGTCTGCATTATCTGTGCTGATCTGATCAGTGTCCTGTGTTAAACAACCAAACATAAAACACCAATAACACAACTTGTCAATGTAAGGAACTGGTTCATTTCAGTGTGAAAAGGCAGCAAGCATATAAATACAAGTCAGGACAGAGTAGGATATTTATAAGCAGTTTCAATAAATGCAAATGAAAAATAATTCAAATGTACTCCAAATTAGATTTCTCAAGCTTAAATTAAATAACTTAGCCAAAAAAAAAAAATCTGTTACACTGCAAAAATTTACAAAAGCATTTCTTGTCAAGGCAACAAAGAGAAAACTCCTAAACTTAGCAATTCTTCCTCTGAATTTAAACTTCAGAAATTATAGTAAAAAAACCATGCTTATCAATCATCAACTATGATGGATTTTATTCTGTCCCATTCAAAACAACATCTCAAACGTTTAAGAAGAGATGACATGCTTGCAAGTAAACTATCTTGGGATAGAGTCTATATACAAGCTCTGTTACTGCGTTACAGGTGATTTTGCCTACTCCTACATACTCACAATCACCCTAGCTCTCGCACTAATCATTTCTCATTTCTACCTGCACTATATGTTCTAACTGCAGCATACAAATATCACTTCATTTACATTGCATAAAAATAACCATAAAGTAATTTATGTCTGTACCTAAATTAATCTTTCATTCTATCATTGAAGTATATTTGAATGTCTAAGATGGTATGCACTGAACGGTCAGCTAGTGACATGCAATGATTTGGAGTTAGAAGACCAAGAAGCTTTACACAGGAAATAATGGACTGTACCTTTTGGCGAATTTTTAATGACGTGGGAGTAGCAGGTCGCAGAAACAGGGTATCTTGTGATGTAAATCCGGAGTCCTGGGAAGAAACGCTCGTTAATCGTGCTGTACCCATTGGTAATGTCTGATTATAAAAATAAAGCATGCAACTGACAAAACTAGAAACTCCAGAGCCGAAAAAACATGAAGAATAAACCAACGGCAAATCAAATTAAGCAGAGGTTGATTTTTATTTTACTCTGAAACTGGCAAAAACATTATTCACACAGAAAAGAGAGCTAGTCGGCCTGAATTGACAAATTAGCAAAGAAATCAAATTTTCCCAATAAGACAAAATCTTAATCATTCATTTCCACATAACAAATCATGCACAACTCCATCAAAACAGGGTTATTAAAACTTTGGGAGGATTGGTGATAACGTTCTCAGAAACACTGTTAGTGAGGTGCAGGGGTTACAATACCACTTACTAATCGAAACCGTGGGAGCAGCTGAGAGAATAGAAAGAAAAATTGGTCAAATCAGCTCCACACAATTTATATGGACATCTCTATTTCTAATGCATCAGGTGATTATATGTGGCATGTCAAGGGATTGCATGCAGATGGACAATATCAAGCAATCTAAATCTACTGGCAAAATATATATAATTGTATGAACAGGGAAGAAATAGGAAGATCATGCAAACTGAAGGAGTTATCTCCCTGTACCTGACATATTCATTTCACCACCACCAAATTATTAACTGAATGACAAGGGTCAGAACAAAGAATCCTGGCTGCAGTAAGCAAGTCATTTCTGCAGGAAAATTCTTTGAGGCCAAATATATTTTGATTTTACAATTCATTTCATAACTAATATATATTTCTTTTAAATCTAAAATGTCTTGATTTTAAGATTTCTAAATTCTGCTTTGACAGAAAATTGTATGTTTTCTTTCACAAAAAGTTCAGATGCTAAAATGACCTCTTATGCATTACTACGTATACTGATGACCTCTGACCCCTGTCACCACTACTACTGATGACCTCTATCCCTGTCACCACTACTACTGTACAGAAGAGTTCACACCAGCACTAACCTGAGCGGAGTTTCTGAGATGATTTAGGTGACTGGGGGAGTGTGATTTTAAGGAGCCGCTGGAAGAGGAGGTAATACTATTGATGCTGCACATGCTGGATTTACGCGATCCTATTGAACTTGGAGAGCTTGGGGGTGAATGCTGAAAGCAAAAATAGAATTCTGAAATTGTTCAAATGACAGCTGGTATGTTTTTATTTTCATTGTTGAACAATAGTGCACCATCGCCCCTGAAAATAAGCTGTTCTTGAATACATGTTATGGAAAGAAATAAGCACGAAAAAAATGTGTGGGTAGGAAACACATTATAAATGAAATTTGGTTCTGCAAATGCTGGAAGTAGTGATTAAATGATCTTTTCTTTGGCTCTCATGACATACTTGAGAGAAGTTCCACACACTATTGGTATCAAATCCCTTCAGATCCATGATGACCTGTTCACTGGCTGGGGGAAGGGTGTGCGGGTCATTACACTGCATACATAGGTGGTCCATAATCTCCTGGAGGTGGGTGACTTCTGTCAGCAGGCCCACCTCATGGTCCTACAAATCCATCACAATTTATTACTGACTGTTCTAAATTATACCTCCTGTTTGCCGCCATACATCATCAATGACAATGACCTTCTCTTATATACCTCCATACATCAACATGATAAACACATGAAAGATTATTCACAGGGCCAAATTTTCATCGGTTAACAACTCAGAAATCTTTGAAAACTTATCTATGATAAAACATACAGGTTATTAAAAGATTACCAAAATTTTTAATAATATTTAAAGGTGATACAATATGCATAGAACAAATTGTCTGATACTGTTTTCTTTAGAAATTGAACAAATTCTTACAACAAATGGTCTAAGGTAGCTAATGAAGAAACAGAAGCGGCTGCGTTCCTCAATCAGAGCTGTCCGTACAGCATTCTTTTCAGCCATCTCTAGAGCTTGATATTTATTGTTCACATCCTCCATAGCATTATCTAGCTTCAACTGCATCTCATTTTTACCTTCAATAAAAAACAATTCATCAATTTTCACCCTCACCACACTCTGTTGACTACAGGATTCAAAATATCAATTTGATGTACCCCATACTATCAACTTTTATATGGTATAAACAAATAATAACACCGGGTATAAAATGGAAAAAATTCTTGCAAATACCTTACACATAAATGTTTAGTTATTGGCACATTTTAACCAAAAATCTAACTTCATATTACAATGATACAAAATCACTTTACAGTTCCACATTTAAACCACAAAGAAACCTTAAATCTTGAACAAAAACCGAAAAAGGAAATAATTTTCTTCCACTAGATCATTTTGCTGGAATGGAAAGCAGGCAGTTTTTCTCCCTTAATGATAAGCTTTCCATTTCAGTTCTACAATAACACATTACTGATACAGTGATGTATTGGCCTGTAATATTATCAATCAAGTCAGTCTTTTTTTTATCAATATCTTACTTAGTCACACTATGTACCTACTTGAGGTAACAGGTTATCATTTTTTACAGCTAAAAGGCAGGTGTCAATACAGTTTACCTGTTTACTTCACACCTATATTTTATACTGCAGAGTTTTTTAAATAGATCCCAACATATGGGTGAAATTGTGTGTCTCATTACCACTGTAATGATTATTTATACATACATAAAAATTCTAATATAACAAAAAAAGACTGAACACTATGTTTTTCATGTCAATAGCATTAAAATGTCAAACATCGAAATTATGAAAATCAGCCACATTTACATGGTATAATTTTCAATGAATGAGTTTTTAAAAGCAGACCATGTTTACATTTAAGTGTTGCACTCACAGCTGTAATTTTTTTTTAAATACAACATTGAGGTAGCCTGTATTTTTTAGAAAGTAGGTCAGCATAGGCTGGATAAAATCAGAGGGGGTTTGAATTACCCCTCCATCAATACACAATTGTTAAGCAGACTGACAGAACAATCGGTATACTAACATGTCTCAGCAAATTCAGGCTCCAAAGAAGATAGCTGAATGTAAAAAAGAATCTAGAATCTCATATTCCATAGCTGTAATTATATAATAATTCCTTGCCAATCTACTGTCCCTATGGGGCCCCCTTTTATTAATTGAAATATGTAACTTGATATTTCAAGGATTGATCATGATGTATATGTTCATGCATGCGCAATGTCCTATTATTTCCTATGACTGCACCTCCAAATATCCTGCACCTCTGCACATTCTGAATATCTGTCCCTTTCTCTCTTTCATGTACAATGCAGCCAAACCAAGCCTTTGAACTTAAATAAACATGATCATTTTCATACACATTTAAATACCCTCAAGAGAAATTTGTCATAAGGACCATACTTTAAACAAGACAACCAAATTTTTCTTGGCACCCATCTTTAAAAATTTTCTTTAAGTACATGTACCGGTACTACTGTAGAAACTAATGCATATATTAAAAAGTTTATAGAACTAGTTACCAAATAGTAAGGAATAGTAACAACTGTATATCTTTTACACTGTCCCAAAATTCAATCTCTATATTTAACCAACTTGATAATACTAAACTCTATGGACCTCACTAACCCCAAGGAAAAAGGACTCATTTTACAAATGTCCTCCAGCTTTATCTACCTAAATGGTTAAACAAATCCACAACCCTGTATGACTTTGTCTTCCTCTGAACCAGAAAAGATCTTCAAATGTATATTTTACACCTGAGAGACTTTTTGAACAGGTAAATTAACTCATTACACCTGAAACTGACAATCCCATCCCTCTACACATACAGAACATATAAAAGGTCCATTTCTGCACAACAAACAGCTGTTTTATCTAAAAAAAAAATTTCGACTTTGGTGGATGAGTTTTAGGAAATTCATTATTAATAGTTCACTGACACCAGCAACTTTCACACTTCATGGCTATACCTGGAACTATTAAATACCGAACTTCTAACACCAGTAATTACACAGTTTGATAGGAGGATCATACTCCATCTCCCAAAATCATAAAAAGGAGATCATTTTAAATGGATTTCTTTATAAATATTATTATAGTTAGAGGAAACAGGATTATTGTTCAAGATATTGTAGGAAAATTGAGTATTCAGATATATATATATTAAAAAAAAAAAGAAAAAAAAAAGAAAAAAAAAAGAAAAAAAAAAAAGAATGATCTTTAACCAAATACATGTACTACTTTTTTCAGTGCACATAAAATGTTTTATTTTCAACTTTTCTGCTAAAAGGAATGGATTTCAACTTTAATGCAAGTTAAATGCAAAAACTACCAAAAATCATATTAATAATGAAAAAAAAATTGAATCAAATACATGCATTCTCTAGGTCATAAAGAATAGTGCTTCAACCACCAGTCTGTGAAAGTCTTTTTTTTTTAAACAGCTTTACATATCCTGTCAGGACTGAACTCTTTCCTTTTGTAAATAACACAAACTTAACAGTATTTTTATACCATTATATTTCTTTTCCTTATGTGATATATTTGACTGAAGTGTTTACAACATTTGAGGTTAACCAATTAGAGTTTGGTTGCTGAATTTGTAAAAGAATCCACACTTTAAGTGACCTTTCGATTTTCCTTTTAAAGTAGCACTAGTTGTAGATCTGAGATTCTATGGGCAGAGTTCCTGTAAGTTTCCAGTGACCTTTGACATTTCTACAAGTATGTAATTACCAATCTTTGGAGTGCTTCATGTTGTACAAGACAATGACAAGGCTGTACATATAAACCTCTCCAGATCCACTATAAGGTACAAGATGCTCAGAAACTTTTAACAAATTTGAATAGTTCAAAGTTACAGGAAGTTCATTAGTTTCTATCAGACTATGCATTAAATATATGACACATTGTCAACTGTTCAGAGCCTCTCTAACCCTTGAATAACTATAATTATGTAGTCTACTATATGTACTACCAAGCTTTTGCCCCATATAAAATGTGTAGTGTTTTTTCTTCAACCTTGAGATTTTTTGGAGTTATGAAAGCATAGGAATCTTATCCATTATAAAATATAGAAAACTGAAATAGGTCAGAATCCTATCTATATTTCAGATGATGTAAATGATAAAAAATTCCTAATGTGATACTAGTATTTCATGTTTTTATCATTACGTTTATTATCACTTTCCTAGATAATGGATGTGCTAAAATTTTAAAAGCCACATCATGTGGCAAAACCAGCAAGATTTCTCTGTTTCACTGGTAACTCTACAACTCTATACCTTGTGAAATAGAAATACTGGTTCATGTTTAGATTTATATGATCTCAGCCTGGATCAATCACATGAACTCTGATATGTATGTCAGATGTAACACTTGTGACTAGATTCTTTGCATGTAAAAGGATCAATTCACCTCTCAATACTCATGCCATCATTCCTCTCTTTTCAACGCATTATTATATCTTCAAGACTTGATTCAGATTTTTTTGTATTAAATGCATCATTGGACACAAAAATAAAATAAAACAAATACAAATTATGAGCAATTTGTTAGCAATTTCAACATATTCTTCTTCATGCAAACAAACCAAACACACCTGTATGATATTCCATTTTTAAAACAACATTTGATGAATGTGGTTAAACTATCTTATCTGTTTTAACCCAGCAGGTGCCTTTAACAGATAGAAAAACTGACATCTCACACACAAGAATGTGTTAAGTAGTCTAATACACCCTAAAATACATCACTCCCCTTCAGGAACCTCACTGACCTTTCTTGACCTTCTTCTGAAGTCTCATGGTGTCTGAAGCTGCTTTCTTGATCTCCTGACGAGCTTTTTTATATTCTGGAAAAAGTAAGCAAATTTTCTTTAAGACTGCCATCACAACCATGAACTGTTAAGAAAAATCTAAATATTTACATGTCACAGCTGTGGAGTCTTGTACACACCATATATATTAACTTGTTTAGTGGACAGACTTTTTCTATGCTTGTAAATAAAAACATTAAGGTGTGAAGAAAACAAAACATGGAGCTATGTTCCAACCTTTGGCATGTTCCTTGTCTAGTTGTGCTACTGTTTTCTTCCATTCCTCGCTATGTTCCTGTACTGGAGTGACTAGATTATCAATTATAGACCTGTAAAAAATCAGTACAGCACTGAAATAGCATTACATTCAAAAATGCACTTGATAAGGAGTTTATTTCTTAGAAATTCATTTGTGTATATAAAATCCACTTCTCAATAAAAATGATACATTCAAAAATGGTTTTTTTTACTAAAAGTGTCACACAAACAGGAAATATACAGATGAATGCGTGACTTTCATACATTACTGAATTACAATTACTTTTAAATCACTCAGTTTAGAGTCAATCAGCTGAAATGCGTTTCTTCAACAACAACAACAAAATAAGAGAGACCTGCTTGAAGGAAAAAGTGTTTCCATCAAAAAGAATCATCTATAATAACCTAGTAACCAAGTTCTAAGGAATGTATATGTCCCATTTTAGGCTATGAATTAGAAATAAGAGGGGATTTATATCATTGTAGAACTGGCTGCTGAAAATAGCAATAAAATATTGACCATTCAAAATGATGGTGTAGAGACTAGTTTATACAAATATAATTCCTTGCTGTTACATGAGTTTGCTTGTTCTGATTTAAACTTGAGATGTCATATCTAGTAGAGCTATCGGGGATGTAGAGGATGTAAGGCTCTTATAATGAGGAACTAATTAGAGAACTAGTCATTAGCTGTTGGGGACTTCCTGCAGGATATGCTTATTGAGACATTAAATGCTACAATAGCCTGGCCAATTCTACTGTATCACCCTTTAACAATGTCAGATTTTATCACTAACACAGTACAATGAGAATTCCTTCAATAAACAGGCCATAATGTTCCAATAAAAGCAAAATCAAACAGATTAAGGGTCCAGTTTACAGTCCTGGACTTACAATGCTTATTGGGTCAGAGAGTTGAGAGGTGTAAATCTTACAGATATATCATACAGCCTACAACTTCTCCCAGTAAAACAGGCAACAGATAGGGGAATGTCACACAGGTGTGAAAATAGTCACATATGACTATCAAATAACACCAAAACAGACAGTGTCATAAAACCTACTGAATAAACTCACTAATAAACAGGTCCAACTGTCTGATGCTTATCTATATAAATACACATAATGCTCACTCTAATGACAGTGCATTTTCTTATTAAGTAACAGATGGATGCAATTCCAACACCCAGTAGAGACTACAGACATTTCCACAGTCAAAGAGAATAATTTAGTATTTACCACCAATACTTCTCACCCCAAGCCCTGAGGAGAAAATCTGGACAAAAGAAAGATTGTCAGATTACTCCGACCAAGAAATCATCAATAATTAATTAAAGGATTGCCTCAAAAAACTTGAGACAGGAAAGTCATTACTTGCTGCAAAGAAATTATTTTTGAAATTCTAAGAAGCATGACTTTAATCGAAAAATGTCCAAAAAACATTCTGCAAGTAATCTGTACACTGCTTGAAGTGTCTTTATCAATAAATGAAAAGCTGCCACCATATTTAGGTTAAAAACTGAAATACTGTGCAGGTTAAATTAATATCTTCCAAGTGAGTGTATAAAATGCCTTTATTAAGATTGATTGGTGGTTGAAATTTGATTTTAGAGCAGGCATCCTATGGCCTGCATACAATGATAGAATATATGATGGATTGCAGATGATCAGAAAACTACTAAACATGGAAGAAGGCCTACAAATTTAAGAATATGAGACTTGAGTGTTAACAGGATAACAATATCATGCAATAAGAAACTGTCTCCCAAAAATGTAAGAGAATCTCTGATGAATAAAAAAGTGGTGGACCAGATTACAAAGCAGACAATTACCTGTACTGGGTGAATCGTGAGAAAGGTGACTTTGTGACAGATGATTATCAGCCATTCTGGTACAAATGTAGGAAGCTGTTCTTCTCCTGAGTTTTTTTTTCTCTTGGAGAATACAAGCTTCTCTCTAAAGCTTAATATTCCATCTTAATGTCCCCTATGTATATTCTTTGAGTACACTTTCAGGACTTACCCTGTTAATGCCTTTAATTTGGACTCTATACTCTTGTGCCTCATACAAAGTCTGGTCAGAGCAGAACCAATATCTCGTGTAGCACCTGTAAAATCAAGACCCACAAACATAATAACTATATACATGTATAAATGTTTTAAGTATTCTGAGATTCTGTAAGTGCCTGTACAATAACTAGGTATTAAGCAATTAGCACCTGGAGTCTGACAGGACTAGATTTATCAGCTATAACAGGAACTCTGCCACAACACAAAGATAACCTTGCCACCATTATCTGTAATCAGGTGGAGAAACCTAACACTGACCAAGAAAGGTCAGCATATAGGTAAAGTCTATATATATATAAACTGAATCTAGATGTTGTGTATATTTGTATATGTAGGCTTCACCTCACAAATAAGTGTGTACAGCTAAACACTCAGAATAAAAGGGGGTCAGCTGGTAACAGATGTGGTTTTACACAAAGTTAGTTTAGAAGCTGCTTCCTGTCTGGAATCATGTAGACATTTTGTGAAATGGAGAGGACAATTGTAAAACTATAATGCCATTAGTGTGTACTACAATGAGCATATAGTGAGGACACAAGAGTATCATATTTAACTCGAGAGGGATAAGTACCACTCACGTCTTACAATATATCACTGTTCACTGAAGCTGGTGAAATCTCAAGTACCACTGAAAACATTCCACAAAACTATGTCCATTTTAAGAGAATTTCTAGTGCTTTTTTTTTTATTCTTCTTAAGAGGAAGATGAAAATAACAAAAGACAATTTTCAAGAAACATTTCATTTATTGGGTTTTGGAAATAGATTTAACGTTAAATCTTTGGCTTGTCCTTATTTATTCAAACAAAATGAGGTCATTTCTTGGCAGAGAATTCAATGCACAGGCAGGTGAATATCTCCAAGGTCTGTCCTGCAACGTGTAGTTGAATAATCTTTACAGTTCTATATCTTCTCTGTATGCACACATTTAAATGATCAGCCATGACTCTCTGCAAATAGTGCAACAGATATTCCTCTGTATACACTGAGAAGCCATTTGTATTCATTTGATCTTAAATCTCTGTCTGCATTGGAAAAACAGATTAGGCCTGATCAAACATTTTTCCACCAATATCTGATTTAAAACAGAGGGGACTTTTCCCAAGATAAATGTTTCTGTTAACTGCACAATAAAAACAGAAATATCTGTCCTTATTGTCAGCCTAACAGTGAAATAGCTGACATTTACTGCTGTAATTCACTGCACTGAGTAATGCATATCTCATCCACAAACCATCAACATCACTGCACATGGGGCTGTATGAATTCCAAACACTAATTCAACTTAAGTCATTAGTCATGTAAAATTTACATCATTAAAATATAACTAAAGGGAAAATAGAACACAGTGTCACATTCTGCATACATCAGCTTTCATGTCAATTACCTGTCAAAACAAACAACAAAGTTTTATTTTTAACTTTACATGTCTGTCCTTAGCTTGTCAGTTTGTGTGATAAAATATAGACTTTTGATGCCCAGATATATCTAGTATGTACAGGTATTTAACTTTCCCACACATGGGGTAACCAGTGAGAGTAATCTCATTATAATGCATCAGCTCCTGCTCTGATGGTCATGGTTCTGCCAGAAGTTAAACCACATGGCTGAGGATTGCTGAAAGCTAGAGATCAATGCTGATTTATTCATTGTGTCTGTTCACTATTCATACCCCCTTCCCTCTCTCTCTTTTTCTCTCTCATTAAAATTTATGGTACCCATTTTTTTCAGACACAGTTACAATTTAGTGCAGTTCATCTACAGAGTATCTATTGACTCCATAAACCAGCATTCCTGAGAAATGAGACCTAACTGTAACATACAGGGGATCAGCTGTGTAGCTGGGAGCATACAGATTACAATTCCTCGTGTATCACACAGACATCTGTATCATTTTGCCTGTTTTTAACTGGTTTTTCTGCCAAGTATCCCAAGATCACTCAGTTCCTCTGCTCCTTCCAGCGATCAGTCAGCAGCCTGGTATCTTATCAATGGTTTTCATATTCAGCTGCACAACCATGCATAATCTTTCTGACTGGTCATGCAATGCAGAACTCAGAGTTGTGATCACACCCTGGAGGTCATAAGGTCACAGACCTCTAAAACATAAAAGGTTTCATAGACATGTATCAAACGCTTCCTTCCCTGGCACTCCTGCCTGGTTTATAGGACTACACCCCACCAGCACCTAAGGGCCACTTAGTTATTTATGGATGCTTTTTCACTGACCCTGAAAAAATCTCTATTACCTTGTAGGATGCCAGTAATTACACACATAAAGACCATCCTGATCAAGAGGACATATGGTTTTGTGATGTATGTCCTCTACTTCATCAATACCTTTAATTAAAGAACATTCAGGTCTTCTCAAAACTCTAGGGCTGGGACGATACAACTTTTTCTATATCGATACGTATCCCGATATTTGAGCCACGATACGATATGTATCACGATATGTTTAATTGGTTATAAATTCTTTTTTTATATTGAAATGAACAAGATATTTCTTCACAAATAAGAATAATTTATTCAAAGAAGTTGTATGTTGTAAAACTTAATTATTTTGGTCTTAATTATTATGTATTTCATATTCCTATTTATATTAAGCATATTTATTTTACATATTAAACCCAAAATGTTAAGTTAACAAAGAAAAACATTAGTCAGAATTTTTTGGGAAATATGTCGATATTTCTTCATACGTATCGATATGCGTATCATCCTCACATTGAATCGATATTATCGATATCTCGATATATCGTCCCAGCCCTACAAAACTCTAGACTTTAGTGTTTTTCTTATAGAAACCTTTGATATATATATAAGGTACATGTTCCTCGATTTCACTCATCCATACCAGTATACTAGCCACATCATGAATATTTTCCCTAAAACCCTTGAATATTTTAGCTAATACCGGTAACATTTTTAGTGATGCAGACTGTTCAGATTGGGTTCCTAAAGCCTGATATATTGACTAAAGACATCAAAAATCCTCATCAAGGAATACATTGATCCTAATATTACACATAAATACCATTATAAAAACTTCACCCCCTTCCCTCTAAGTGCCTTCCTCTAATACTAAAATACCATCCATAGAGACTTCATAATGGAACCTTAGTTGCTGAGCTGATTTTACATACATTATCTACAGAAATGACAAAAAAGTGTATCCTTTTAACATGCGTTTAACACCTAAGAATAACATTTAAAATCATTGATGACCTGACCCATTAGTTATGTCTCTTACGACGAATTACACAGCATGATATCCACATGTTAAACAAATAACAACACTCTGGAATCTTTTTTTATACTGAGAGAGATGCACTGATTGTTCAGGCCAACATGGTAATGCCAATAAAAATATTCCGATGTTAAAACAATATATATAAATGTACAGGAGAGGGATCAAAACACTTGACTACCTTCAAAATTTTAAAGTTAGATGCATGTGCAATGCATCTATACATATTCAAATTTAAATAGGTCAGGCAGTCATAGAATGACTATTGATTGTCACTGTGTGCTGCTGACATTGCAAACAGTCACAAATCAATGGCTGCCTCAGAACAATGCTATAGCTCACTAATGACATTAATTAGGCCGAGATCAGAAACAGACCAATATTGTCTCTGGATCACATTTCTAATATGAATCTTGATAAACATAATACAGCATCAACTTTACTTCAAAATTACATTAATAAATCTCTTCTTTATTAGTTCTTCTCTGTGCAAATCACATGCCACTGCCTTAGGTGGAATAAAATTCCAAAGTACAATTTCTTCAAATGCAAAGGTATAACAGGACATCTACTGAATATTTTTCAGCCTCATGTCTTCCACTAAAAGAAGTTCTGATGGATTGCTTCCTAAGAAAAGATGGTCTATCCTTGAACCAGACAGCAAAAGACCAAAATACTTCTGTTTACTAGGATCTCAATCCTAATGCAAAGCTATGTAATCAATAGAGTTCATACATTCCACTTTATTCTGTATAAGATACAGATGGCCATCCTCACTTTAACAAATCACTGGAATGCTGCATTGTTGTAGCACTTGATTTAATTATACCTAATTAAATTGGTGTAGTGAAGACCCTACAGAAACCAGAGCACAGGCAGCCCGAGGCCAACATCAAAAAACTTCATTTGTTCAATAACACAATCTTTGTTCTAATGTGTTCGTCTGTTATACATGAATAATTTACCTGATTGGCCAAGAAATTAGTGTTGTCATGTCACACATTCCTTTAGAATGTTCTTGTAATCGTAACATATGACAAGAATTGACCTGGAAAATCCCCTGCACTATAAGACCTTAACGTTCACCCACACCATGCTAATAAAAGGTAAACTAAAAAGAACCCTCTACAATCCTATTGACTTTGTTACTGGGTCTTACGTATTGGTTACAATACTTGTTACTTTAGAACTTTGAATTGTGGACCAAATCACTGAGTGCATTGCATAACACCAACTATTGTATCCAGTACAGCCATTACCTAACATTCTACTTCAGACAAAATGCAATAATAATACCTTTATCAACTTACACACACCTTACTAAAGCAATTGTTTAAATTGATTTGTCATACTTCATTGAACTGAGACTATCAGAGAGAATGTATAGGATTTCAACATCAGAGCCATCTAGTCCTTCCACACGGTTTTCTTCCACATGAATGGACAAAACAGTGTGAAAATCAATTGACAATTCCATAAAAACATGCATTTACCAGCCAACTATAATAGGATTTACTCATTGATCGAGGTCATTCCATGGGTAATTAAAGCCCATTTCCTGTGTGTCCTTATCTTTTCAAAGGGGTACCACTTGACCCTATGATTTGTACCGAACTCTTCATGTAGCCAAGAAGTCTTATTTACGAAGATACGAATCAAGGATCAAAAATATTTTGTTTAAACATGGTCCAATCAATTATTGATTCTTTTCTTGGAAGCAATTCTAGCATAAATTTAGCCCACTTAGCCAATTTTCATATCAACTACACAAGTGTCCTGAGTTGGGGTTGACACTGTGAATGGGTATTTTAGTGCACAGCTCACATTTCCTCTAATTTTACCCCAGGGTAAATGTCTTCCAGTAGGTGCACTCTTGTGTAACCAAACAACAGATATTGACACAGATTACAGTATCAACATGAATAATAACTGGCACCTGTCAATACTATACAAAGGATCTTGAAATTAAGTCTTCATCTTTAAATAAAAACATGGCTGTAAATAAGACATCAATGATCGCATTATACCAGCCTTTCTCAATACAGAATCTGTTTAATTAACAGACACTCCACCCAAGATTATGGTATAAATATGTTGCAACTTATATGATAAAGCCTGTGCACTAAATAGAAGCATAAAGGAAATATTGCATGTAATAAAATACATTTTACGGATACATTTTTTTTTATTATAACATCAATGTACAATAAAAAAGACTCAAAATCCCAATGAAAATCTTCCTTGAATATTAGACATGCACAGTAGAGTGGATTTGACAGTATGTTTTAATAAGAATGGTGTGTGATTTCAAAGCCACACAAAAGGTGCTCCATATTATGAAAGAGATCAACGAGTCGTGGCGAGACAAAGTCTTAGTAAATGACAAGTGCATTACAGCACTGATTTATAATTATGATTAATGTGTTCTTAGAGTCAATGAATATCATCGGAGGTATGCATGTGTTGTAATTGTCTAGACCAACCCACTCATAAACATTTGTGGTGTAAATAAACAAGATGTAGCAAGAAGAAATCTGACTTCTGATAAGGGTAGAGTCGCATGTGAAGTGACAAGGATATGCTACTAGCATTCACAGTCAGAAATATATGTACACAAGTCCCACTGTACAGGACAAAGATTTACTTCAAGGTCACAACAGGGTCAACATACATTGTGGCTGACAAGCTTGAACTTCTGATTCTCTGTACTTAAAAGTATAGATACATTGTACTGGCAGGAAATGTCATATATCATTACAAAACAATAAACAGTGGAATTACATCCAATCACAGTAATGGTATGCACCAAGTTGCCTCTGAGCACATCCCTAGTGTATGGTGATGTTACATTTCACAGTTTCAGAGGAGACAAACTCTTGTGAGACCCTGCATGAAAAAAAGGACCCCACCCAAGCATTTCCTACAGACACATTACATAACGTTTATTTATTTGGGAGGTTATCTAAACCAAGAAAAGATGATAAAAAGCCCTGCGGTGAAGAGAGTGCCTTCCTGACTTTATCAAATAAAAACTTCAATTCAATATCCACAGAGAAGCCAAAAAAAAGTTCAATTTAAACAAGAAAATATTTGCAGGAAACTAGGGAGCTCATTAAAAATGAAATAAACCAGAAATATTTATCTCTTTACAATCCTGTCACATGGTGTGTGACAAGTTTACATAATACAGAACATTCAAAATTCAATTCTTTACTATCTCTTAACTGACATTCCCTGCCTTTGCATTGAAAGTAAAATATTAGCTATATCTCTGAAATGCATCAACAACGTCCTTGAAAGTGTTTTGTTCATGTTTTCTTTTTATCAGAGTCTTGTTAAAAATCTTGTAAATCAAAGCTCTGAGAAGCTGGATATTATCATCAAATTATGGACATGCTTTGTAATAAGCTGAGGTCAACATTCCTTCATTAACAGGCAGTTCACAACAGGAACCGATCTCTCAAGGAAACAGGATTGTGTGCTGTGTTCCCTGTAACATGTGCCAGTGTACGCCAGACCTATTCCTATGCCCACTTATGCCCTCTTTGTTCAGGCAGCATAGACATGGAATATGTGTACTTGTATATTCAAGTTCCCCATTTACTCTCTCTGTCTAAAGTGAAATTTGCAAATAGATTTCCAGTCCAAATCATCTAGAGTGCAGCTGTTTTCTGGCTTTTGTTACATTACATGACGTTGTACAATATCTCACATGATCTTTAGGAATTACCTTTGTATATCAATCGTACTTTTCTGTTTATATTCATGAAGTATGATCCTTTAAATCTATTTCATCAGTGACAATCAAGCAGAAGTCTCACTGATAAAAGTACAGGTGGCATTTTAACATCGCATGATCAAAACCAATTACTTTATATGATAACATCCTGCCTCATTTATTCTGGTTTCCTGGCCTAAATTTTACATCTCAAAAATCTGACATTTTATAAATCATTTAACTCTGAGTTGTCTTCCTGTTGCCCTTGGTGTGAGTGTCCTGCATGACAAAGTCACTGGGTGGTAACATAAGTCTTCCTTTCTCTCAACAAACAACTTATAACAAAGGAGAGCTCAACCTCAGAAACCCAATAATAGATGCTTCTAGCTGCCCAGAATACAGTACCATGACTCATTACTAAGAGCCCTTCTGAACAGGAAAGCTATGAACAGCCACATTCAATGAAACTTCCTCCATGCTTTCAGAGGCTGTGATTTATTTGCTTACAATTTCTAAATGTATTGCTTTTTTAGAGACTTCATAAGCATCTCAAGGTCAATCATAAAACCTGTCAAAAACTTGCTCTTTTTCTTCATTAATCTTTCGGCTTAACCTTACCTCTTGACCCTGTTGCCATGTCAGCAACTTTCTGAAAAGCTTCTAGAAACCCTCCAATAGCAGCCAGTGTAGCTCTGAAATTAAGAGTCCAAATTGTTTACTCAATACTGGGTGCTGATTATACAATTTATTTACAATCTGGCAGCTGTAGTTTTGGATTGGATCTGTTTACATTTTTATCAACAAAGAAGTAATATTCTTACTTGAGAGATGTGTGAAGTTTGGCTGCTTTACTGGTGAAGTCTTCCCAAACCACAGAGCTGGCCTGAAAGTAGTGCATCAGATATCTAATACATGAACTATAGATGAGTTTTAAATCAAATTATATTTTGTTACATAAATCTTGAGTACACTGCAGATGTAATAACACTAGATTTAAAAACAAAGAGAAAGGTATTTTTTATGCAACCAGCTTTTAATCAAAAGGCAAAGTTATTATCTGCAAACATTTGCTTCCCGCATTTACATTACTTATTCTCTTTGCCCCCCCCCCCCTCCCCCCGTTTTTGGGAACACTACTTTCATAATCATTAATGATAGAGAATTTTTGTAGCAGACTGTGAACCACATGCAGACAAAGCCTTAAGAGTTTGTGTATAAACACTCGGACTATCAAGGTCCCCCCAGTGTTTACACTGAAAGTCAGCAGAAAACACCATGACATGTCTGTGGACAGTGATAAACTAAAGATAAAGCCTGACACTGGGTAGACAGTGAGGAGGAGTGGTATCCCCCAGATCAAAGACTCTCCCCTTCCTCCCCTTTCAAGGTCCACATGATATATTTAAATATAAGGTGAAATTGATATCATAAAACTTAAAGTTACGATTGAAAACACAGTACATTTTTTACCCAAGAAATGCAAAGTTAGTTATTATATTGCTGTTTGAATAGTAAATTACGTAACCTTTATGCATACAACATCTCATCTGATTGATTTATAGACCTATTTATGTAATCATCATAAAAGGAGAAATCAATGACTGTGTTTACTTCATAAAACAAGGATAAAAATCGAAATATTCCAAGAGGACTACCATATAATGTGGATATTTTAAGCTCACTTATGTAGCACAGACTATCTAAAACTATCTATCTTCATTTTTCATACATTTATGCTATTATTGCAGTTGTTTTCTGTTTCATTCAACATGCTTTCAATTTTCAAAGGAAGGACACTTCCTGATTTGAGTAAACAAGGCTCTTTATTAGACCTTAAACATGAAAGTAAGACTTCAGCTCAATGAATTGGATCATACTTCAAGAAATTTGTGAGGATTTTTAAAATTAATTTTATAGTAGATGAGAAGCTTTATATGCACAGCATACTAATATTTGCCAAATTATATAATGTTGTTGCTTTTTAAATGTACCAGTTGATTCCATGTGCAATGGACCTGTGGGTCGATTGTGCATATTAATATGCCATGTGCAGCAGGTGTGCATTAAATTTTACTGAAAATTAAATATACCCGACAAAAAGTCTACATGAACAGTGGTCTAGTAGAGAGAGAAATACACCACTGGGTCCACTTTTTAATTTCTGTTGACAGTTTAGGTAAAATTTATATGTATAAGGATGGGAATGATAGCATACAGAACAGTGACTCCTGTCTACGCAAGTTTGAGACCTTTGTTGATCTATATTTGGAGACAGAGATGTTATCAATGATCTGTCCCTTAATATTTGTTCAGTTAACTTTTTTTATGCTTGTCTTCTTTCCAAAAGGTCAGGTCATTCATTTTGCTTGCTGGCAAATCATCAGTTTATCTTTTTGCATAATTCTACATGTATTCACTATTCTGAAGGCATTATAACATGAAAAATCCCAACAGCTGTGTACAACTGCATTGTTAGAACTTTCAATAACAATACTTATTAGCTTTCCTTTCAATACTAAGCCCACAGAAGATATACATGCTACTTATTAAAATGCACATGTTCAGTCATGGTTGACAATTTTGCCAGGTTTTTGTAGGATTGTCCAACTGTACATTCTTCTTTAATAAATAATAAAGGAAAGTGACAAATTTCATCATACATATAAAACATTTATTGTATATATATTATAAATATGCATATAATGGTAACATAAATAGGATGGGCTGAATACCAGACATGAACATTTTTGTGGACAAAAGTATTATGTCTTTCAAGAATACCCTCACTGGATCTCTTACTTTTTACAAACTAATCTTGGTGATTAATCAATCATTGATCTTGTTAATCTAATCTGACCTATTTAAAGATCTACGGTAATGTCTGACTCATGATTTTCTTTTTCTTTGTAAGGATTTTGAAGCACAAGATACTACACTAATCTGTCTATACACATGGTAAAGAGATTACCTGCTGAGGGTATAGAACAACTGTCTACTGGCCATAGTTGAAAACAGATGAGAATAAAAAGCAAAGACTTCAATGAATATATTATTGGTATATATACAATTTCTGGAATAAATTCTGGCCAAGTTTTAGAACTCTTTTTATTGCCAGCTGAGTGCATATGAAAGGATTTAAAGCTTGCCACGTGCATAACACCTCAGTTCTTATAAAGCTGGATTAAATAATTACTGATCGTTCAGTCAAACTAAACATAGTATGTGGTCGGTTGAAGAGGTTAAAAATTTAACACACAGATGTACTTTGGGTACAGAAAAATTGCTATTTCCTTTAGCAGGATCTTGGAATGGTATGAGCTAAAAAGCTACACACCCTCCCCCCCCCTTTTTTTTAAATAAAAAAAAAGGCCCTGGGCATTAAAGTTTACAGGAAATCAGCTCGCTGCTTATATGACCAATGATGACCTATTTGCAATATTTGCATTACCATGGCACTAGTGCAGCAAAGGACTCTAGGGTCCCATAAAAGTCCTGCTAACTCATTCATGGTTCCTGTTGTATGACATAACTTTTTATGGCATGTATTCTTTATAAATCCTCAGTATACATAAATTTATCTTATCTGATATCGGTTACCTCATAAATAAACATGAAATCTAATTTGATGGGTCTATTTTTGCCACTAGAATATCATGCTTGTCGAGAATTGGTTAAATAAGCATGGGTTTTCCGCAAAAGTTAATTAATAACTAAACATATGACCAGATTCTAAAAAAATATTGTCAGGCCCTATATATCAGGTTATATATTACCACTTACCCTCATGTCACTAATGATGGTCTGAAACAGCCCACCAAGAGCTGTACAGTCTTTTTCGATTCCACCTTCCATTCTACCTTTCAAGCTACAAAAAAATCAATTCACTTGCAGTCGACAAAAGGTTGTCTGTAACTTCCGTTCAAAACAATTTGATCGGTTCGGCCCCGTTTGATCAATTCAAAATTCACTGATAACGATGTCTGAAGCCGTTACCCATATATTCAGCGTCTCTTTGTCTACAATTTACAAAAAATATCAAATAAAGTTGTCAATGTTAGTTCCTACAAAGTTTCCTTCACTAAAATAATCCATACTTCGTGTATATCAAATAACCACTCTTGTGTTGAATATTCTCATGTGTTTCTTACATGCTACCATTGCAATCTAAGCTCGAGATCGAAACAATTCCACGTGGTTTGTGTAAAGGCCTATGATTGGACAAAATGTATTGCCACTATTGGGGCTCAAGAGGGGACATTTAAATTCTTAAGGACATACGCAACGTACCTTACCTACTGATAATTTTTCAAGATATTCTTAATTTAAGATTATAGTGCCATCAGATGTTCGTAGACAAAAAATCAGCATGCATTACCAGGGGTTTTGAAAAGATATCAATTGATGAAAATTCTTGTATAATTTAAAGAAAAATATTCAAAAATTACAAAACATATATTCTAGATGTTTTGATTATCAAAACTTGTTTTAGAAGAAGTGTACAACAGCATATATAACTCTTTACTAATAGAAAAACTTGAATCATACAACATCTTTAATAAGCTAGACAACAGAATAACTGTAAAAGAAATTTTATCGGCTATTGCTTCATTGAAATATAAAAAAGCAAAAGGACTAGATCTGATATCAAATGAAATGCTGAAAAGTGGGCATACAATAATATTACCCTGTTTACTGAAATTATTTAACTTATGCTTTTCATATGGTCATTACCCACAGACATGGGCAAAAGGATATATTACCCCTATATTTAAATCAAAAGATCCCTGTGATCCAATTAATTACCGTGGAATAACTATAACAAGTAATCTTGGTAAACTCTTTAATAATATTTTAAATACCAGATTAGATAACTTTTTAAGGGAGAACAATTTAATACACCCTTGTCAGGCAGGATTCACAAAACATGCCAGAACTTCAGATCATTGTTTTATTGTTAAATGTCTTATCGATAAATATTGTAACACAAAAGAAGGAATAATTTAATTTATGCCTGTTTTGTAGATTTTCATAAGGCATTTGACAGTGTTATTCATAATGGTTTGAAATTGAAACTACTGCAATACAATGTTGGAAATAAATTTTATAACATTGTAAATGATATGTACATGAAAAGTGAAGCATGTGTCAAGTATGGAAATCTTCTTACTTCTCCATTTCCTTTCAAATTAGGTGTACGTCAGGGAGATTATTTGAGTCCAACTTTATTTAAAATGTTTATAAATGATTAGCCATCATATTTACAAGGCTGTATAGACTCTGTCATGTTACACTCAAAAAGTATAGACTGTTTGATGTATGCAGATGATATAGTAATTTTTTCATCAACACCTGAAGGACTACAGCAAAAGCTAAATTCTTTAGAAAAGTATTGTGATGATTGGGGTATGAAAGTAAATTCTAGTAAAACGAAAATTATTATATTTAACAAAGCTGGGAGAACAATCAAACATAAATTTCACTACAAAAATTTCAATATTGAATGTGTATCTAGTTATAAATACCTAGGCATCTATTTCACAGCCTCGGGGACTTCCTCTATGGCAAAAAATGAGTTATACAAAAAGGGACTTAAAGCTTTTTTCAAGTTACCAAAAGACTTCCTTAGCTTAAATCCTGGGATATCCACTAGCCTCAATGTTTTTGATCACACAATTAAGCCTATATTACTTTATGGCTCAGAAATATGGGGAATATTTAATGTTAATAATTCAAAAATAAAGCAGTCTAATCAAATATTGATGCAACTATGCTATAAAAACTTTACAGGAGAAAATTTACACATCAAGTTCTGTAAAACTATACTAGGTCTGAATAGGAAAAGTGCGAACCATGCCTCTCTTTCAGAATTAGGTAGATATCCTTTACATTATGATATTATCAACATGTTACTTAAATATTGCTACAGATTAGAAAATTTAAATTCAGATTTCCCTTTACTAAAAGATGCATTTATATGTAGTAAGGAACTTCATTTTGACCAAAAAACAACTTGGTACTCCTCAATAGAAAAATTACTAAAAATTCTTGATATCCCAAACATAATGTCCTATACTAAGAATAATTTTATGAATTCATTAAAACAATCCATGAATAAAAAATACTCACTTGATTGGCAACACTCGAATGAAACACTAAAAGAGGGCAAACTTGTCACTTATTTATTTCTGAAGAACAATTTTAGATTGGAAAAATATCTAATTTTATTAAAACCTGAATACAGAAAACCAATATGTAAATTACGTGTATCAGCGCACAGACTTTTCATAGAATTAGGTAGATATAATAACACACCCAGATCAGAAAGCATATGTAAAAATTGTACGCTTAATCAAATTGAAGATGAAGAACATTTCCTTATTCACTGTAGCAAATTTACAAAGGAAAGAGAAGACCTATTTAACCTGATCTCATCTAAAGTAAAACATTTTACAGATTTGCCTGATAAACAAAAATTATTCTGGATTCTAAATTGCGAAGAACTAGATATACTAAACTCTCTTGGAAGATTTTTACAAAAAACATTACCATAAATTTTAGGAAAGTAACATTTTTTTATTATTATTATTATTATTATTATTATTAATTATGTAAAAGTATGATACTTTCAAGTATATGGTTTAGTAATGTATGCATATATATATATATGATGTACTGTATATATATACCTATAAAACAAGTCTTATGTTCATATAAAATATTTTGGGTATTCCCCTACTTGTATGTCTTTTCTATCAATCAAGCAATTCTCTCCCTCTTATGTGTATGTATATTGTATTTCGTATGTATGATCATAATCATTATTTACATTTTAACAATGTACTTTCTTTTTGCCCCATGACGGCCCTTAATTGGTCAATAAACGAATTGAATTGAATATACAGACATTAAAATGTAGCACACAGTTCCTTTTAGTATTGGAACTCTTCAACTCCAGTGGAAAAGACAATAAAGTTCAAACTACGTTGCGTATGTCCTTAAACAGTACATGCTACGGGGTTGTTGATTCATTCTCTGATCAATAAAATGTAGAAAAATATAAAGTTGTTCTTTTTTAAACGAATGTGATAGATTTTCTAAACAATCTTAATTTTCATATATAGAATTATATTTTGCGTTTCAAGAATTTTCAACGAGCAGAAATCCCATACGCATATTTTATTTACTTAGAACTTTGCATTTATTTGATACAAATATATAAATAGTCATAACACCAAATTTTCTATTTTAATAAAACTTTGTGGGAAGACTATATCAGTATATAGGTCTATCCAAAAAGCACTAGTGAAGCGAAATTTGGAAACTCTGTATTTTCTTTTAATTATTTTTCTTTTTTTAATTTTATGTCGGAAAATATATAAAGAATATCGCGACATAGCGAAAATCCGACTATGATCATTATATAGAAGTCGGATTTTCGCTATGTCGCGATATTCATTGTCTGACGTCATGGTGTCAGACAGTACTAGATTTAGCCAAGACTTGTTGGTCAAGTCGTTCAATAGAATTCTTGTGATAACTTGATCTTGGAAACTTCATACTACCTCACCATCAATTGGAGAGCATGAGGAATACAGGAAACATGCTAAACACCCAAACAAGCCAGAGCATTAGAGCTGATGTCATTATTATCACATTATACAAGTTACATAACATTTGGCCATTCTCGAATGCATGTCATTCATGTCCACCAAAACAGCAGGAATGAAGCTGATCAGGTCAACACTTGTCGATTATCTTTATCAGATTAACTAATGGATGTTTATTTTCAATGCATACTAAGTCTGTCTACCTTTAGAATTTTTATAAATTTACACATATTCATAACTTGCAGATGTTTGATTTCCGCCCCTCGTGAATTAAAAATTGTGAGTGTATTTACCAATAACCAATTAATATCTATAATGTAACTATAACATAGTTTAAAAATAATCAAAGTGAAGGATAGATGTTGAATATTCTTTTGCTTAAATGCAAAGATGTTAGCTACGTTTATTTTTTTTAAACAAGACATTTCATAACTATCAAGATTGTTCACGAATTGATGTTTAGATTTTTATGTGTTGCAACTTTTTCTTTCAAAAAGACTGGTTATATCTTTGTATCCATGAACAGATCCGTTGGAAGAAATTTCAGAAATTTGCAGTTTAGGGTGGACACTATCAAGGAAAAATTCCTTATAGACCATACAAAAGTTATCAGAAGTTAATATTTACATGATTTAGGTGACACAATCATAAAATAGCTATGTATATAGAAATCGGCAAAATTATTGGGGGGGGGGGGTCCCCAGTTCCTACATCTAAGAAAAAATAAATTACAATATAATGTATACAGAATAAATTCATGTCAAGTTTTATTTTATGTTGATGCCACTGAATTGAACTTTTCTTGTTTCTTAGCAAAAGAATTCATTTCATGACTCAGACTCATGTTGATTACACTGTATTTAATATTTCTTGATTCTTCACGTAAAAACAAATTTGCTCAAGTAAGACAAGCTTTTTAGGAAAGCTAATACTTGTAGATGTTAGAGTTATTTCTCTTGCATTACACTTGTGGTTGTCATGAAATCTTGTGAATTTGAAAATATATACCAGAAATTTTCTTCCAAGTGGAACGCCGAGGATTCTTTGGGATGCATGGTTAAAAAAACGTATCGTATTTGATCCGATGAGTACGGTGATCTATTTACTTAGTACATGCAATTATTTTATTTCTTCTTATGTTGGACTAGATCTATATTATGTCGTTCGTACGAGATATTATGTCGATTGCAAATTAACAATTCCAATTCAGGAAAGGTGGATTTACTAGTTCCCATTTCAGATTGTAAATGGTAAGGACCATCGCTTATCATTCAGACGACTCTTTTTGGAAAATTATTTGCGAATTACTACTACTACTACTACTACCATAGTTCAGCTAGTACTACTGCAATAATACTACTACTTCTATAGTAGAAGTAGTAGTAGTAGCACTACCAATTCTACTACTATTATTACTACTACTACAACCACTACAATAGTACTACTATACTACTACTACTACAATTCTACTTCTACTACTACTACTATTACCTCTACTACTACCACTACTACTACTATTACTATTACTACTAATAGTACTACTTCTACTACTATTACTACTTCTACTACTACAATTATAACAA